TAGATACCTATAACCAACAACAGAACATATAAACATTGAGCAAGGTTATTTAGGTGCATTTAGAGTACAATGTGCGTGCGTGGTGCAAGTGATTTAATAAAAGAATATGAGGATTATGAATTGAGTATAAATTGAGTATAAACGGATTGGAAATGTTACATTGCTATTATCAATAATCAGTAAAGCCAGGGAGTAGTGTCTTTGTCTCTAAATAATTGTCCATCAATGTATAATTTGTCCACTGTGATGATTGCTTTTTTACCTTGGTTGATCATTGTCTTGCGGATGGGGAAAAGTAGCTTACGTCTGCGGATGATCTCTTGTGGATATTGGTCGTTGAGTCCGTAATGAGTCCCTTTGAGCTGCCGTCCTTGTCGCTGAACCAGTACTTTTTGTTTGAAATGTTCAAATTTGGCGATGATGGGGCGGGAACGGGTGGAGTTGATGTGTTTCTGTCCTAAACGGTGAACGCGATGGAAAGTGATGTGCTCCACAGTCTCCGGTGTAAGTTTGAGCTGATTAACCAGGAAGTCCTTAACAGATTTTTCGGGGTCTTCGGTGGGTGATTCGGGAATGCCGGAGAAGATTAAATTGTCTCTCATACTGCGTGACTGTATATCCAGGATGGTTTCTTGCATGGCTTTGTTCTCGGTGATGACGGAGGTAAGTTGAGTGTTTACAGTTGAAAGTTTTGCAGTGAGTGTGTCCACGGAGCTTTTCAGTGATTTATTTTCTTCTGTGAGTGAATCGACTTGCTGTTGACTGTATTCCAGGCTGTGGCGGAGGTTTTGAAATTCTTTGTGCAGTACTTCGATTAGTGAAAGTCTAGAGTCCAGGTTTGATAAGCGCTCGTTGATTGATAGGAGTATGTCGGAACAGCAGTTTGTTTTGATCGGAGTGGATAATGGTGATGTTGGTGACGGCGGTGAATCGGTTGATGAGGGAGAGTCCGAAATGCGTGGTTTTTTGGCTTTGCGTGATCGGCCCATTGTAACGTTGCAGAGTCTGTTGAAGTGGTGGTCAATGTAATCCTCCAGTTGGTCCAGGTCCGAGTTGTAATCCAGGTTTTAAGTTAGGGTTAAAACGGTTGATTTTGTAGTTGAAAAGCGAGTGAGGGGAAAAAAAAAAAGTTCGTTTGTTTTTCTAGCAGCAGCGCGCTGCCATGTTGAATTAGCACCCAACGCGCACACACACACTACGTCAATACGTCATCACGTACACCCTCCCCATCTGCACTTCTAATGGATAGTCGCGGCGCGTTCAACGGAATTCATTGGCATTAAGATGGGCATCGCCCAGCTTTTTGACGCGCAGCATTTTTCCAAATGAAGCGCCGCCTTCCCGGGATGCTTTGCGGGCGCGTTAAAGTCGTGTGACATCACCCATAGGAATAAAGTGGAGCGCGGTGCCACAAAAGTGCTGCACGGCCACGGACAAGTGGATCCACACCGTCAGGCACCCTTTAGCGTCAGTTAAATGACGCCCTAGGATCGCGTCTAAAGGCCAATTTATACTTCTGCGTAGGGTGCGCGCAGTAGGTACGGCGTAGCATACGCACAGACCCAGTCCCATTGCGCGTACCCTTCGCCGTCGCCTGACGCGCACCTCCTCAAAAATGTAACTACACGTCGCGACGACGCGGACCGCAAGATCAGTGATTGGTCGGCTTGGTAGCATCGCATTTCCTCCTACGCATTTCCGCACGTACCTTCTCACGCATTTCCATCACTGTCTTCTGTCTATGATTTCCACACGTACCATCTCCTCCGACGTCTTCTCTCATTTCTGCCTTTCAGTTTTAGTAATTTCACTAAAGTGAACTGTTTTTCCACCTCAATAAGCTCCAACTCCAACACGATCCACTCTCTTTCAATCGCTATTGCTTGTAGTAACCTAGCCGCGAGGAATCTAAACACAGTGGAACATTAAAACTCTCCGCCGCCAACTAGCGTTTCGGAGCAGTACTGCAGAGCAACAAGACCTGGACGCAGAAGTATAAATGCTCATAATGGCGTCGCCTACGTGCGTAGCCAACGCCGCACATTATGGCGTACCCTCGACGCAGAAGTATAAATTGGCCTTAACCCTACCTCTAGGCTACCCCAGACCTAAACCTACCCGCGTCATCTAACTGACGCTTTACCTTTAGCATCAGTTAGATGACGCCCTAGGATCGCGTCATGTAACTGACGCTAAAGGGTGCCTAAAGCGTCAAATATAAGTATTTACAGATACGTTAATGAAGCTAAGTGACATGATGTATAACACAGCTAGAAGCTAACATTGTTTTCTAATGTACGTCTAACATTAGCCTAACGTTACGTTAGAGATTTTTAAAGATAACATTTAAATACGTTGTTGACTCAACTTAGATCAGATGTTGACATCCTTGTTTAATTTATCTGCGTTTAGTTGGTGTTGTGGTCTACCGCTTACTTAATCGTATAACTTAATCCAGAGCAGACACTTATCCTGGTTGAGATGTGGCTTGGGACAGGGTAAAAGAAATACACACCATCGCCCAGACTCTCGGGAACCTAGTGTTGGAGTTACATGTACCCCATGCACACCCTTTGACCATTTTAAACTTAAAATGACAATAAAAACTGACTAACTGCAATGCATTTCAATGGACGTGGAAGCAGAGAACGTCTGAGTGTATTGGGTTAGCTGCGCACTGTGATTGGCTCATCACATTTGAGGGCGTGGTTTAGCCATAGGTCATTTGGCATGCTGACTGCAGGAATATGTCCTTTTGCCTGTGAATTGAATGATCATTTCTCTACCATAAGCCGTCTTTAAAGGCGTTTCAAAGAATTTGGCAGTACATCCAACCGGCCTCACAACCGCAGACCACGTGTAGCCACACCAGTGTTTCACCACACCACACCAGGTTTGCTGATGTCAACGTTGTGGATCGAGTGGGGTTATGGTATGGGCAGGCGTTTGTTATTGACAATGATCACAAGTGCATTTTATTGATGGCATTTTGAATGCACAGAGAAAACGTGACAAGGCCCATTGTTTTGCCATTCATCCACGACCATCACCTCACCTAGCAGCATGATAATGCACGGCCCCATGTTGCAAGGATCTGTACACAATTCCTGAAGGCTGAAAACATCCCAGTTCTTGCATGGCCAGCATATTCACCGGCCTTTTGTGTACATAGAAAAAGTCTTAAATCTTTGAGTTCAGCTCATGAAAAATGGAGGCAAAAACAAGTGTTGCGTTTATCATTTTGTTCAGTGTGTATATAGATATCTGCAGTCAGATGGGTTAAACGCAGAGGACAAATTCTGAGTACAGATTACCATACTTGGTCTTCGTGTCATGTCACTTGACTTCCCTTAATTGTCTACCACCTGTAAACTGTTAGTGTCCCCCCTAAATTATAACATCTTCTACTCTTTTGGGAAGGCTTTCCATTAGATTTCTGGAGTGTTTCTGTGGGATTGTTTTGCCCATTCATCCAGTAGAGCATTTGTGAGGTCAGAAACTGAAGATTTCCATTACAGTTCATCCAAAAAGTTTTTAAAGAGATTTAGGTCAGGGCTCTCTTCGGGTCAGTTAAGTTCTTCCACACCAAACTCATCCAATCATGTCTTATGGACCTTGGGTTGTGCAATGGGGCACAGTCTAACTGGCCTTCTCCAGACTGTTCTCGCAAAGTTCAAAGCCTAGCATTGTCCAAAATGTCTTGATATGACTTCACGGAGCTCCTCAGGACGGCCCATTTTTTTCACAGATGTTTGTAAACGCTGTTTCCATGACTAGAAGATTTTATTTTATACACCCTTGTCAATGGGTCCGATAGAATTCTATAAAAAAGAGGTGTCCTAATACTTTTGTACATTTAGCATATACAGATATCACTTTAAAATGAAGGTAACAGAGTTGCAAATTGCAAAGCCTAAATGAAAAATTTCAATTGAAGTCAAATGTTGGATTGTAAAATTCCCCATTATCTAAAAATGTAGTTTTATTTGTGCTTACAATACCTCTCAAATATATGATACAGAACTGCAACTTTGAAAAATACGTCGCATGACACTTTCTGTGTGAGATTTTAAGCATTATGTTGCAGTTTCTTAAAGGAGAACTCCAACGCAAAATGAAAATTTTTGAGATGAGATTTGTTTTTATGATAATCGGATGTAAAGAGTTGTATCTTTAAAAATTGTTTAGCGTATAATGCTAGTATATGGGGCAAATAAGTAAAAAGAAATCACTAGTTAATACCACTAACAAGGCTCAAAATAGCCCCACACTAACACAGTAACATAATGAGGGTCCATACATGCAAAACGAAGCATTGAGAACTTTGTAAGTGTACAGACCGTTTAATAAGAAGATATTTTATAAAGACAGTCCCCTTCGTGTATATAGGGAGGAGCCATCTTTGGAAAACAGTCTCAAGTCGAACCACGAACGCCGTTCATACAGTTCAGAAGTTCACTGAACTTCATACAGTTCAGCTCACTCGGCACATCGCTAAACAGTTTTTAAAGATCATTTACAACTCTTTACATTCGATTATCATGAAAACAAATCTCAGAGAATGGTTGACTAGGTGCCAATGTGTTATTACACCAAAGGTTCATTTTGCGCTGGAGTTCTCCTTTAAGCAAAGGAGGAAGGTACTTTCCATGAATAGGTTACAATAGTAAAATCAAAAAGCCTTAAATAAAGTCAAATGTTGGTTTGTAGTTACTGATGAAATTTAATCGATGCTAAAATATGTGTAGTATCCTTATTTAAACACTTGTGGACTAAAATGTCACAATGAGGTTGCTGCAATAACAGTAAATATTTCAATATGCAGTAACAATACATATTTGAATAAATATTAATACATATTTGAAATGGTTTGATATTTTCCTGATCCAACAATTAATTTGACCCTGGCAGGTACAGACAATTTGTGTTTAAAACAATTAATATGTACCCTATTCATAGAACATGCCTGAAAGATATAACAAATAACCACAAACAAAAGGTTCAAAATGGAAATTAATTTTGTCTCTTTATGCAGTCTTTTTAAACATTACAGTTAAATACATTTGAATGACATGGAATCGAGTTTATCACAGAACTGAGAATTTTTAATTCCAGATTCTGTCTAGACATCCTAAACGATCTAAACACTACAATCATCCGCTTCCTCTGACAGTGGCAAATAGGCACAGGAAAAAAAAAATGATATATATATATATATATATATATAATGACGAGGAACTGATCATAAAACCATAAATCACTCTTTTAGACCTGGAATCCGTTATGGATCTGAGCCTCACTAAATATTGCACAATTTGAATTAAAACAAAAAAAAAACAAAAAGAAAAATTCCAGAGCCTGGAAGCCTGCCATATTGTTGCATAGCCTTTAAATGACCTTCCCCCATCCACAGTCACAACACAAAATATTTCTTTATTTGTTCTCTTGCTTTTAGTAAAGGTTTTACACATGGTCATGTAGATCAACAAACTTGTCCTGTCATTGGACAGCCACCGATCTTTTCAAGTCAAACACATGGACAAACCACAACAAAAGCAGAATATGAAAAGACTTGGACTTAAGGATCAGTGACATTAACTGAAGGGCCGCAAAGCTGTGAATATAACAGTCAACATTCACTGCTTACATCTAATTCTAAATAATATCTTTTAAACGTAACGACAAGTTTACTCCTGCTTCAGTTGTCCTGTTCCATGACTTTTTTTCTCTGCTGGCTTTGAAGCCTCTGGTAAGGCTATCGACACCAATGTACTTCCTAAAGATGGAAATACAAGGTTAATGTTCGGTTTTAGAAGCATAAGGCAATAATCTATACACCCGCTCTCTCAAAGCCAGACTTGACCTGAAGAAAAACCAAAGACTCTGATGAGATCGTGCAAAAGACGAAAAAGTCTGCCTAAACTAATCACAAAAACAAATGTCTCTTGATGGGTATTAGAAAACGCAGAAATGACCCCATGACAGTTTTCAAAGAGGATCATGTTGAAAGAGGACTTATGCTGAGTATAAGGATTCTGTCGTCACTTCTGTGACTGGGAGTCCAACCTACCAGTATATATCGACATCAGAGCACTCTGACCATGAATAGCATCAAATTCAGTGGTCAAACTGCTCCATGCATATGATAATAGCATACCTGAACACACCGGCATGAGCTAGATAAGGAACATTTTGGTGGCTTGCTGTAGTGAACGATAGTAGTAGGGACCCGAAACGTCATTCTAAATGAATTTTCACTGCTGTTAAGTACGCAGCGTTAATGTTATCATTAGAGGAATGGAAAGAGAGCCATAATAACCCTCGCACAAGATGTGCAAAGTGTGATGTGTATTTGGATTTAAAGCAAGATTGCCACTCATGCGGCCTGCTGACACCTGTTGCTCCATAATCGGGAGCCACAAAAAGTACCATAATTGAGCGACACATCACATTTCAGAATGAATACTCTCTGTATTAAAAGCTCCAATCATCTAAAAAAAAAAAAAAAAGAATTCAAATGTAAAGTCTCCAAATGATCACACCCTCACAACATGGCATCATTTTGACAATTCACTGCGTATTTTCTCTTAAGAATATGACTAGATGGCGGAAGTCTGCCTCTGCCCTCCTCGCGTTCACATTGGAGGTTTCCGAGATGTTATTAAATAATTAAATAAAGCTCCATCAAAGCTTCTCCTCTTGATGCCTTCTGGATTAATTTACAGAGAGGGGTGGCGACTGCAGAGCGTGGATTCATTTGTTCCGAATGGCGGAGACCGAGTGCGCAACTCAAGCCGGAGCGGAGTGAGGGTCCGAGCTCTCGCTTTTGTTCTTTGCCTTCTCGTCCCAGTCTGTGGCACCCATGCACATTTCTGCAACTCTGCAGTCTGTGTGTGAGGTCATTGTGGAGGAAGTGGGATTCGTTTCAGATTCCATCTGCCCACCTCCACCACCAGGGGGCCCCAGACCCTGAGCGCAACCCCGGCCCTTTAGGTCAACCGCAGGAGCATTGGCTGCGCTAATGTTTCCGTCTTGGTTCTCTCCTGCTGTGTTAAGACTGTACAGCTCTGTTACACCTGCCCCGGATGACATTGGCTGCTGGATCCCTCCCGGCTCCAAAAGAGAGTCGCTCAGGTGTGTAACAGACAGAACGTCTGGGCCAATGGCAATCTCAGCCATCCAGTCGAGGTCAGAACTGGATGGGTCGATGGGCAGACCGGGATTGACCACCAATCCGTTGTGGGTTTCAAGCTGAGGTTGATCCTGAGCAGCTTGCCGGTCCTGGCCGTTAATGTTCGCATTAGCGGCTGCGTCACCCTGGCCGGCGGGCGCAGCATTGCTAGTGTTGTTGTTAAGATTGTCCTGCAATGCAGTCTGGTTTCCTTGGCCCACCTGCTGGTTCTGAAGCAGCATCTCCTGGATCCGGATCTGTTGTAGGATGGCTGGCAACTCATAGTGGTGGAAAAAATAGATCATTGAGTGCTGTGGAAGACGAAAACGAAAAAGCCCATGAGCTACAAATAAATTTCATCCAAATCCACAAATTTCCCAATTACATAAAAAAAAAAAAATCGGAAATACGATACCTGAATGAAGAGCCAGGAAGTGACCAGAGCCAAGCTGCTGTACTGGCCATTAAAGCGGTAATGATACGCATAGAAGGCAAAGTGATACAGATAAAAAAACCTGCAAAACAGCGCAAGAGATGCTTTAGATGAGGTTTTAAATGTGTGATATGAATAAATAGTGCTCATAAACCTCGTTATGCTTGGACCCGGAAACAATATTCCTTATGTTGTGATTCTAATGTCACCCTCTATCCGCTTGTTAAGTTAACAACATTATATTCCAAGGCATAAACAATTTGGGACTACTGTACAAGGATTTTTTTATACTAATTCTGATGTACATTACATGGGCGTCAGTTTGGTTTGAAATGTGCTGGGGACAGAGACGCATTCGGAAGGGCATTTTCAAAAGTGCTGGGTACAATAACGCATTCATTCTTTTTTTCTCTTTCGAGTAAGTCATGTTTTGAAAGACGATGTCCTGTAGCTTCCTGATGTAAATAATGCATAAATAATGAGCACAATGTCCGAGTATAGTGAGTATATAGAGTATATACGCCCTTGATTGCATATGTACAGTGATTGGACTTGAAGCGCTTTCCCGAGAGAAGACAACACATTTCAGTGCTAGATCGCCTGTTATTTAACAAACAAATGAAACGAATGCTGTTAACTGGAGATGTTTTATTTGTATTGGTACATCTGTGCCGCGAGACGTTTCAAAAGTGGTGAGGACAAAATCGACCCTGTCAAAAAGTGGTGGGGACATGTCCCACCCGTCCCCCCCGTAAATCGTACATTAGTCAACATTTGAAGTGGATTAAAAAAAGACAAGAACAGACTCTGTGAAAGTTTTAAAGCATCTTTTAGTGCCACTTTCAGAGTGCTCACGTACGGAGAACACATCCGGTAACATTGTTTTTTCCTCATAAATGCAAACACGAAAAATAAAATAAAATAAAAGGAACATTTTATGTACTATGGAGGCTGAGAGCCGACCCTAATTCACCCGGTGGGTAGTATTACTTTGGTTTGCGCAGTTTAATTCACATGATCACTAAAAAATATTTTGCCTCAAAGTTTTTTTTTTTTTTTTTTTAAAGCCCCATGTAAAGGCAATTCTACAAAAAATTTCTAAACACATTATAAATGTTACATATGTAGTGCTAAAACATATTACAAAGACTGTGAACTGTGAAGTACTGAAATGTGCAGTTAGACCGTTAAACAGTTTTTCACCATTGCAATTTTACGGATTGTTTGCTCCTATTTGATGACGCACTGAGTCTGATCTCTCCCCTTACACATAATAACACTCCCCGAGCACATTCGCACTCACCGCTCAATCGCGAGTGACTGTCAGTACAACTACAGCTGAGCCTACAGTTTTCTAGCTAGCGATGCCTTCAACACAGAAATGCATAGGCTACTACCTGAATGCGATCATGTACAAAACAGATCGGTATCTTTATTTAAATTCCCTAAAAACTATCACATCAAGAAGAGGTTTTTAGAGAGCCAACCTTGATGAAGAGCTGATGATCACCGCCAACACCCGCCTCTGTAGTGATCATTTTACACTGGATCATTCTAAACTTTCCTCAGAGACAACTGGGATTCACTGATAATCAGCTGTTACTGGTGAACGGGGCCGAAATGACTATCTTCCGCCTCAGCGTTCATTCTCCCGTCCCGAAAGCAGTATCAGCTAATATCACCGTCGACACTAGCTTTCTCGCGAGTGGGCGTGGATTCCACACAGCCAGCGGACACACCCCCAGTGTTTGAGAACAGAGATAACTGCTCATTTTTTCAAGATTTTGATAGCTTATTTTATGTACTTGCTGGCTTTTTTTTATCATTCAAATTTGGCTGGGTGGCTAATAACACATTTTTCTGTGGTGTGACAAACTCAGAACACATACTTAATTTTGACTTTACAGGGACTTTAAGCAATCAGAAATCTGAGGGCTACGCCACTGGTACACGGACATGATTTTCTCTTAGCACGTATCCAAATTTGTGTCTCTCAGCAGGGGGACAGATTTTGAGACTTGACTTGGACTTGTGGCAAAGACTTGACTCAAACTTTTCCCTCAATGACTTGAGACTTGACTTGGACGTCCAACAAACTTGTGAACATGTCTGCTATCATATTATCTACTTGTGAATGCAATAATGGACAGCTGTCTTTCCTCATTCGACTGGTGTTTGGATTTCATGGTGGTGATATTTATGATAACTCAGTATCACACGACAACGTTTCCACAAGACAGTGTTGAACCATTTGATCAAAAGTAATCATTTTGATCAATGTAATTCCATACTTTGCTGTGCCTAGAGGCAGATGATGACATTCTGTGTTCAAATATAATTAACTTTTTAACAAGCTCCACAGCGCCACCCAGTGTATTCAGTTATAACTGTGAGTTTTAGTTTGCGTACTAAGGATTTCACTGCATTTATGGGAAGCATATGAAGCAAAATTTGATTAATAATTACAGATTACATATTCGTGCAAAACGTTATTCAAAACCCAATGTACATGTTTCTCTTTGTGAGCTTTGGTCAGGGGTGGCTGAAATGCAACTTTATACACAACTGCCAGCCTGCATGGAGAGGTTCTTGGGACTCCAGAGACACCAGTGGCTTCAAATATCCGTTTCCTGCTCAACAATGGGTTTTTAATAGCTGCCCTATTAATACAATTAATTCGTTCGAGAGAAACTTTCCTCAAGTCTTTATCTGACCGAGTTCTGTGCTCTAAATCACAGACAATTGTTTTGACTCTATTCAGTTTTCACAGAATATCAGTTGTTTTCATGCCTTTTACAAGACATTGAAGCATTCAATCTTCAGAAAGATCTTTCTTCCATGTTGCATGAGAACTGTGACTTGCTTAATGTGGAATAACCTCTTTAAGTAGGATTTCCATTTTCCCAAGAAGACCTGGCAAACGACTTAACGAACCTGCCTGAGATTAATTTGTAATATCATTTTAAATAACTGGAATCAAACAAACTGAATGTGTATTTTAGTGAAATCACAGTGATATGTCACTTGCATTATAATTTGGAGCACAATGTATATTGCTATCGTACAGTAGAATGTACCTCTCAAAGTAATGATATAATAATACAATTAATAAAACTTTAAGGAATTATTTTTCTTCCATGTTTTAATTTGAACAGTGAACCACTGTTGTACAGATTTTTGTTTGCCAAAAAGGCACACTTTAATTTTTCATTTGATCTTTTTAAAAAAAAAAAAAAAAAATGTGTTATGCCTTCATTTGATAATCACTGTTTTTTGATAAATTTGTATTAAATCATAAATTCAGGAAAATTAACATTTTTTTTTAAATAAATTGTTGTTAAATTGTTGATTTCAATTAATTAGAGATTATTTTTACTACATTTATTCAACCATTAAATTGAAAAAAAAAAAAAAGTAAAGAAAAAACTAAAATTTAAAAAAATAAATCCAAAGTTTATAGGGCCCTACTCAGCACAATTAATCCAAGTCTGTGTGAAACTAATCAAACTGTAAACCTTCTGCAGCTTTCCTTAGCCACAGTCCCTTGCCCAGGGAATGCATGAACTAAATGCATGATAAAATGTATTTCTTCAATGCAATACAAGACGCTTTATACAAACACGTCTGCCACATGCATAAACGTAAATGCAAAATGAATGCAACACATCAGAAGAGTCTGAGCCATTGGCATTTACCCGTGTTGGTGAGGTAACATACCTAAGCCAGTGGCGCTTGCTTGTGTTGGTGTGACAGCAGATGGCATCATATTGGTCCGCCAACCAAACAATGAGGATGATGTAGAAGGCAGTGGTTGTGTCATTGAAAAACTCAGACATGATGGCCTCCATCCCTACAGACGGGATAAAAAAGGCATTTAATTTCAAACAACCTTCATAAAATGTTTTGATGAGAAACTATCATGTGATTATAGTATGAAGTCAATAAATGAACAGATCAGGCATCGAGTTGATAGGAGACAGAAACAGATATTAGAACATCTCTCCAAAACCCCAGCAGTGATCTCTCTACCTACCCACAAGAGCTAGGATGACAGTGAGAAGAGGGGCAGCAGGGAAGGCAATGGTCATATTCATCTCCAGCATCTGGAGAAGGTCCACTGAGACAGAGGAAATCATTAAAAATGGGCTTTTTATGAACTTCATCTCGGGACATGATCATAGATGCTGATGCAGTGGTAAAGATCTGAGAGGCTGATGGGAGCCTACCTATAAAGACAAAAATCTGGTGGTGTGAGTACCGCAGCAGCATGGAAACGGACAGGGTCTGAAAGAGAAACAAAAAAGACTTGTGGGTGATTGGATTTTGCATTTGATTCAGTGTCGTATCAACATATTGAAGACTCATCTCTCCATGGTCCAAGTGACTCAAAAGAATATTCCACACAAAAATTACAGGACTGTCATCACTTACCCACACATATGACTTTCTCTATTTAATCCTAAAAAAGTCCACTTCTGAAGAATATCCTGATAATTTTTTTTTAAATTATGAAAGTGAATTACAACACTGGACTATCAAGATTCAAAAAAGCATTATGTTAAGCATTAATGTTAAATGTTGTCCAAATGTTGACACATTTCTGAAGTTACACATTAATTGTGAGTCAGGTAAAAAACTGATCAAAACTGTGGTTATTTACTGTACTGCATGTTTGTGATCGTGAATTAATCATTCTTTCCCCAAACTCACTAATGATTATGTCACAAGATTTTAACTTAAAGCAATCATAGAACAGAAAATTCAGAATACTGCACGTGGGTCACTTTTTAGGATATTTTAGTGAACATTCATTGTAATTGCGTGAGGGAAAAAGTAACTAGAACATTGTTAAAATTTCATCTAATGTTCCATGAGAACATGAGAAGTCATGAGAACGAGCAAAATGAGGACTAATTACCTAAATGCAGAAACTGAATGTGATGACATCACACCTACAATCCAATCACTAACAAGCACTCTAGTCTGTAGTGCAGAAGCAGTCAAAGTAAAGTACTCACAAAGATAACCATGATTACAAAGGCTGCTAGGTACGAGGTACGAGCCATCCACATACTGACAAAACGGTAGTGTTCTCCAGAGACCACATTTCTCAAGAACCCTAAAAACAAGCAAATCACATTCTCATCTCATAGTTACACAATCATCATCAAAACAACATTTTTCTGAGAGAGAACTTCTAATGTACCTTTGTTTTCCTCATTCTCCGCTAAAGCCTTCACACTGGACATCAGGATATCGTCATAACCCAGGCATTCGTCTAGGAGGAAGCGACTGAAACCATCTCCAAAGCACTGGTCCTTCATGGGGTCTGCAGACAGACCGAGATTCTGGTTACTACACAACAAACTGGCACTATGCATTTCTTTAACCCTTAAAGACCTATACAGCCGCCGGCGGCTAAAAATTACTGTTGTTCTTAAATGTTAAATAACTTTTGAACCGCTGCTCCAATCCGTATGCTTTAAAAAGTCCCATAAAGAGGAGATTCGCGGCTTTTCTGTGATATCGGGTTAATCGCGTTTGAACATTCAGAAGCTCCGTAGTGAATGTGATTGCGTCATCAAGTTTTGATCAGCATTGATTCGTCAAAGAAACCCGTGCGTTTTTTTTCCTCTGAGCCAATCATAAATGACTGTTAATGCTTAGTCCCACCCCATCCCCAGATTGGTTAAAACTATCATCTACTCAACCAATAAATATAGTTCTTGGTCTTTTGCACGACCAATTAGCATCTTTCTTTAGAAGAACAGAGGTAAAGTCAAAGTAGTTCATATAGGCTATGTATGTGTGTGTGTGTGTGTGTGTGTGTGTGTGTTTATATATATATATATAAGTTTTATTTATATATAAGTTTTTTTTTTTTTTTTTGCTTCATTGTTCTACTACAATGTTTCTATTTATGTTACTTCCTTAACTTTTTTGGACACATCTAAATTGTATATGAAAAACACTGTTTTCACTGAAACAATGCTTTTCACTGAAAATCGCCTATAATAATGTTGTAATAAATACCTATAACTAGGGGTGGGCGATATGGAAAAAATATCATATCACGATTTTTTTAGGAAAATCACGATCACGATTTTTTATCACGATTCTTTTTCAAGTTGCTTTAAATATTTTGCAAGTTGCAAAATTGTCTTAATTTACTCTCTCAAGATGTTTTAAACCCGAATAAGTTTCTTTCTTCTGTTGAAAATAAAAGTTATTTTGAATAATGTGGGTAACCGAACAGTTGCTGGTCCCCTTATAATTTTTTTTTTATAGGTTCTCTCCTGGAAGTTAATGGGGACCAGCAACTGTTTGGTTACCCAACATTAAAAAAAAAATTGTCTTTTGTGTTCAGCACAAGAAAGAAATTAATACAGGTTTGGAACAACATTAGAGTGAGTAAATAATGACGGATTTTTTTTTTTTTTTTTTTGTGAACTATCCCTTTAAGGACAAGCGGCAGTAATATTTATTCCTGTGGCTTTTAGACCAGCACGCGACGTGTTTAATATAGACGCATATTACACCAGATATTCTCTCAAATGTTTGTTTTCACTTTAGACATAGCCTGTTTATGTAAACATTGTGTGTATTTAACAGTATTAGCGTAATAAGACTCGAGAGATAACTTAGTCCAGTATTCAGGCGCTGTTTGACAGACTTCAGACTTCTAGTGCCTGTGAGCGTCGGGGGTTATGCGGTCAGGAAAGCGCACGTTAGAACAGCGCATTAGCGCGTTAATTAAATGTTTAACCGGCAAGGCTTATGCAAATAATGAACTTTTGTGAATTGCAGTGTCCCGTACCTATTCCTTAACGTGTGATCATGTGTAGGCTACGTCGCGTTGTACAGTTGAGAGACGGTGTCGCCAGAACTGAACTGATAGAAGGCACTGTAACACGATACTACGATATTTCTTCAAAAGCAGATCGTGGAGACATTTTAATCGTCCACGATTAAAAATCGTCATATCGCACACCCCTACCTATAACTTGCTTAGGGATTGTTGCATGTAGTCAAAATTACATCTGGAAGTGTAAAATATCCAAGTACAGCTTTCTAAAGGAAAAAATCCAAACTTCAGGAGGATTTGTTTGAGTTGAGTAAAAAAAAATCACTACAAATATGCTGCCGTTTTTCTTAAATCTGGTAAATTCATCCATTCTAAGACAAATTAAATGTAAAATTGGATTATTTAAATGAGATAGATTGAAACTTCAAGTTCTCCTGATAAAAATGATATATGGCACTTGATGCTGACTGCTATAATGGGTTAGAAAAACAAAGAAAAGAACAAGCGGTGCAGGTGCTCCAAAAATGGTCTAGGTCTTTAAGGGATAAAATAAAAAAGTTGAAAACAGGGGTTGGACAATAAAACTGTAGAGGTTTGAAGGTTGAATCACCAGAGCAATAGCACAGATGTACAAAAAATATTGTAACCCACACAACATAATGGGAGGCGGAGTTCAAAAGAGGATAAAGTTTTGGTGTGCGTCTTCTTGCTGGCTGATCTGTAACATGGACGGCAAGTCTTTACGGTGTATCGAAAGCTATGATATCCAGGGTAGTGATGGCATACCACCACATAAGACGAACCACATCCAAAATGAGGATCTGTATTGACGCAACAGGAATCTGTCTGAAAGGGATATCGAGGTACTAACCCTGATTGTATCCAAAAAAAAAACATAAAACCAAAACTGCCAAACTCGCTGCAGAATTAAATGCAGAACTTGACTCTCCTGTTTCAACTAAAACTGTTTGTCTAAAGCTCCACAGAGACTTTTCATGGTCGAGCTGCTATAGTCAAAACTTTGGTAACTCGTGCCAATGCCAAATGGTGCCAACAGAGCAAATCTTGGGCTGTGGACAATAACCGCGTTTCCATTACCCTTCAATTTGCGCAAATTGAAATTGCGAAATGAAAATACACTCAATGGAAACACGTCAATTTCGCAAAAACTCCCGTTTATCGCAAAAACGTTTTTACGCTCGCATGGGGAGGTTTTTCAGGCAATTCGAAAAAGGATTTTTTCGCAAAAATGCAATGGAAACGGATTTTGCGCATTTACAGTCACCTGACTTAGAAGATGGAGTGTGTTTTAGGTCCGTGTCCGCAAATAATAATAATAATTATCATCATTAGCCTATTATAACATTTATTAGGCTATCTTAGCCTAGAAGATGCTTTTATCCAAAAAAGCAACAAAGCAATTCGTCACATCTCATTCATACTACAGGTTGGACAATAATAGGGCTAAGATTATCACCAATAAACACTCAATTTTGACCAATATCCAAGAGTGTGTGCAGAGTTTGGAGCACGCACTGGATGGCAGACAGACGCGGGCGCACCGTGAACACTTTCATTTTCCCATCAACAGTGGAATCAACTTAAAATACTCTAGCATTTCTGGTTATACAGAAAACAATAATACATTATTTGCAACTACTTTTATTTGCGTAATGTCACAATAACTAGAAAACGTTGTTCTTTTGTAAAATAACATAAAACAATCAGGCGCGCTTTATGATCTTCGCGAGAACTGAAACAATAGCCTTTATAGACTAAAGCTTTAAATGTCCACTTTAAAAAGAACAAATTCGAATCGTAAACTAATACCTTCTGATTATGTAATCCATATGAAAGGTGCAGTTTTCTCTAAAGGTGCATCCGGAGATTATGTTTTTAGCTCGTTATTTTTTCAGACGCATTTATAATAACTCACCTATAGCCTAAAGCACTGCGGGAAAAATATCATAAATAGGCTATCCATGTTCTAATTTGGCCTTAGAACACCAGTAAAATCTACATTTTTCCCCATATTAATTTGTGAATATTTTAAATGTTTTAAAGGGGGCAAAAAGTCATAAACAAATATCTGAAATTTCGTTGAGATGTAGTCTATATAGCGCAGAATTGGTGTGGTCAAACCAAAATGATGGTGTTCAACTTTGCGTTTTAAAAATACAACCACCGTTCATTTTTCGCTTTGCAAGAACCGTTTGGACATAATACGAGATAGAGTTCTTTATTACATTCATTTAAAAAAAGAAACAATAATCACAGGAATAGCCTCTCTAAATCTCAAAGAAATGCCATGAAGACATCGAAGCAGAAATAAGGGAGAAACACCAGGAACTCTGTATGTTTCCCTGCTATTAATGCTTGGATAACACATCACGTCTCCTTTCATTAATAATAATAATAATAATAATGTCTAGTGCGGTGCATGGCTGTGAAATAAGTTATAAACCTGCCAAAGTCCGTTGATTTTGGGAACGACTTATCGCAAGATAAAAAAAAGGCGTTTTAGTCACATAATATCGGTTAATGGAAACACCGTCATTTCGCAATAGTTTTTCATCGAAATTTGGAAAATATCGCAAAAGTTTTGCGCAAATCTGTAACGGAAACGCGCCTAATGTGAAACATGTATTGTTCTCTGATGAGTCCACTTTTACTGTCTTTCCCACATCCGTTAGAGTTACGGTCCAATGATGGCTTGGGCTGCAGTGGGCTGAGCAAGTCAGAACACATTTTCCTCCAGCAGCATCAGTGACCTGGCCACTGTTCTGGAAGGGGAATGGCTCAAAATCCCTCTGGCCACTGTGAATGACTTCTATCTGTCATTCCCAAGACGAATTAATGCTGTATTGGTCGCAAAAGGAGGCCCTACACCGTACTAATATACAGTATTATTGTGGTCTAAAACCAGGTGTTTCAGTTTCATTGTCCAACCCCTGTATATTTGTCTTACCAAAAAATTTAATTGTTATGGTATTTTTTTCCCTCACTCTCATATTATATCAAAACTTGTATACTTTCCATGAAAAACAAAAATGACTTTCTGAAGAATGTCCTGCAACCCTATTCAATACAATGAAATTGCTGGGGGTGTTAAAAGGAATTGTCCACTAAAATATAAAAAAAAAATTGAGCATCATTTATTGACCCATGTTGTTCCAAACCTGTATGGCTTACTTTCTAAAGCGGGACACAAACTATAATGTTTTGAAGAATGCTCAGTTCCTAATGACTTTCACTGTATTTTTAATCCACACAATGTTAGTCAAATGATAATATAAACGTGTTTAGTCGACTAAATCGCTTAAATGAACGACTACTAGTTGACTAGAAAATTTTGGTGGACTATCCCTCAAACAGCATGAAGGTCAGTAAACAACTACAATTAAAATGTTATGGGTGAACATTACCAAGAATATTCTATGTTGTGGGAAAAGAGGATTGTGGGTATGGGCAGGTTTCTCCTGGAAGGTGTGATGTACTCACCCAGGGTCACCACCATAACAGGGATGTTGAGTCGCTGACGTGTGGCCTGGGACAGCCGAAGGAAACCATATTCCAGAGAATATTCCACAATATACTCTTCTTGAGGCCACACTACACAAAAACAAACACTGATCAACGCTGACAACATTTCACTGAATTCAGAAGTTCTACCATTAAAATCTTAAAATCGGTCACTTTACACCAATGGTAGAATGTTATAAAGTTTAAAACCCAAAAAACACTGATTATAATGTCATCAATCTTTTCTAGTTACAGAAATATATTAAATGTGCAAAATAAAATGTTTCATAAATGTCCTTTTAAAGGGATAGTTCACCCTAAAATAAATTCCGTCATCATTTATTCACCCTCAAGTTGTTCCAAACCAGTATGAGTTCCTTTCACTGTTGAACACAAAGATGATATTTTGAACAAAATGGGTAACCAAACAGTTGTGAGGCACTATTGACTCCAGTCAATGGTGCCCACAACTGCTTGGTTACAAAATATTTTACTTGGTTCTTCAAAATATATTCCTTCGTGTTCAACAGAAGAAAGAAATTCAAACAGGTCTGGAACAACTTTGTGTATATTACACAAAATACCTAATTGGTACTGTACTGAATTAGAGACACATATATATTATATCTTACTAAAGTCAATGGTGTGTGACGCAGCACATGGGGCCTTACAAAAGGGTAAGGTCATAAAGGAATGTGGGAATAGAAAGGAAATCTGACCAGGGGAAGCGAGGAAGGCTGCACTGGATGGAGGGAGGAGAGGGAATGAATTCACACAGGAGGAAGAGGAGAAGGACCAGATGGCTACGGAGTGGGTCGTATTTGAGATGTTTACCTGCTCGAGTTAGCATCTCAATCTCGGAGACAGTCTCCCTCAGCGGCTGCATACCTTTAGAGGGGGCCTGGCTGAAGGACAGATCCTGGGATTCATTCAGGCTGGAGCCATGAACACCACTGCTCATCGATGGATTCAGCCGTGGCTCGATGTCCAGCTCAAACTGCATGTGTGTGTGAGCGAGAGAGAGAGAGAGGAGAGAGAGAGAGAGAAATTATATTGTATAATTTACTGACCGTGACCATCATGCTATTCCAAGCAATTTTTTACCAAGAAGCACCCGTAATGCTTTTTCAAGAATATTAGAAAGTAAACATGAAATGTGTCATTGTTTCCACACACATTCAGAATAAGCACATAAGCATAAATGGTTTGTTTGAGCATAACAGACTGACGCATGCTTACTGTACAACTGCTTTACGTCACTGCAATCGTCTTTACCCTGATTACAATCCTCATCCATTCAAACTTTACAAGCAAAACGCTGGTTTGCTTTATCCAGCTGAGAAATATAGCTTCAAACTTGGTTAAATGTGTTATGTAAATTAAGTAAATGAGGCAATTACACATTGGCATGCGTTAACCTGGACAATCCTAATTATAATAAATAATATTATATTATTTTAACTAATTATTTCAGTTTAAGTCATTGTTATTTGGAGTTAATGTTATATAAAAAATAATAATAAAATTGACACATTATAATATATAATTTAAATTACAACTACTTTAACTTCCAATAATTTAAATTAACATATATAATATTGAATTATATATAATATATATATATATAATATATATTATATAGAATATATATATAATATTGAATTTAATATCTATCTATCTATATATATATTTATATATATTCTCTTTTTTTACATTAATTAATTAATTATAATCGTATAGAAAAGAGCTCTTTCGAGTTTCACAGAAAACATGACAAAATATTTTTTGGAAACGGTAAGTCTAGACAAGATTTTTTCCTTTTAATGCTTGGCTCGCAACCCTCGTTTTCCTGTTAAACCCACCCGTACTGTGCTGTTGTCAAACATCTCCATGGTCATCTCTTCCTCCTCTTCAACATCTGCCGGCATCATTGGCTGTCTGGTTTCACTTCTGTCGTCCTCCGATTCCTTCACGAGCCCCTGGATCACCTCCGTCTCGTAGAACTGAAGAAAGATGGGTGCGCGGCTGGAGTTGCGCTGGATCTCCACACGCAGGATGCCATCGCGGGGCCATTTCTCCCGCACGTGCTCCAGGCAGTTGATTGGAGAGCGGGAGAACGCAATGTGGATGTAGGCCAGGATGAAGAGCATAAACAATGCCTGCCAATCAAATGCTATGAAATTAAAGTCAAGAAAAACTCAAATGTGCACACAAACCAGTTTAAGCAACAAAGCATTAACTAAACATAGAACTTCCATAACATGGGTGGCATATATGATGACTTCAATGTAATGTTATACTTCACTTAAACTGAAATTGAAATTGAGATTATGTAAATTATTTCATCATAGTCAGTTCTAATGCTAACATATTTAGTTTATTGCAGAAAGTAGGGCAAAATCTGCTCAATTGTCACTGGAATGTTACAGCAAAAGTGGGTTAGCTCAGATCCAGAATCTACCAAGGTGTTGTCAATAGCATTCTTTACTCAAAATTCACTAAAAATATTTGGAAACAGCAAATGTCCATTAATACATTTGTTTCAATAACAATTTTAATATGCCACACATTTTTTTGTATGTTCTTCAAACACGATTGAGTTTTTTTGTCAAATAAGATAATTAAAGGATTAGTTCACTTTTGAAAAAACTTTTGCTGATAATTTACTCACCCCCATGTTATCCAAGATGTCCATGTCTTTCTTTCCTCAGTCGAAAAGAAATTAAGGTTTTTGATGAAAACATTCCAGGATTTTTCTCCTTATAATGGACTTCCATGGGAACCAGGTCCAACCGAGGTCCAAACGACAGTTAATAACAGTTTCAGATGCAGCTTCAAATGTCTTTAAACGACACCAGACGATGAATAAGGGTCTTATCATGCGAAACGATTGGTTATTTCAATGCTTATTCCAAAAATGTAACTTTTCTAAGGACAAATGCTAGCCTTTCTCCATTCTGTGAGGCGCATTTGTAACGTCACGTAATACGTAATTACATTCAAAAGGTCACGGGCGACGTAGCCAGAAGTACAGAGTCAGAGTGTTTACAAGTTGAACGCATAGGTTGAACGTGAAAACTAACTCAAACGCCGTTTAAAAAAAAGGAATTAAAAGGTAAAACAACGATGTCGGACGATTTTGATTCTGTACTTCCGGCTACGTCGCCCATGACCTTTTGACCGTAATTACGTATTACGTGACGTTGCAAACGCGCCTCATAATATATTACAAGGCTAGCATTTGTCCTTAGAAAAGTTACATTTTTGGAATAAGCTTTGAAATAACCGATCGTTTCGCATGATAAGACCCTTATTCATCGTTTGGTGTCGTTTAAAGACATTTGAAGCTGCATCTGAAACTGTTATTAACTGTCGTTTGGACCTCGGTTGGACCTGGTTCCCATTGAAGTCCATTATAAGGAGAAAAATCCTGGAATGTTTTCATCAAAAACCTTAATTTCTTTTCGACTGAGGAAAGAAAGACATGGACATCTTGGATGACTTGGGTGAGTAATTTATCAGCAAAAGTTTTTTCAAAAGTGAACTAATCCTTTAATACATTTATGAATGCAACATAATTTTAATAATTTCATTATTTTGTTGGATAATGTCAAACATTTTTAACATCTTCAGAATACTTTTCCTTGTCAGCCAAAAATATCTCTAACAATTTAGATACAGTAGGCCTAATTGTTTCACAGCTTTTTAATTTAGCAAGATTATGAACTGCAACAAAATGTTGTGGTTAGCTGAGAGTTCCTCACTAACTTAACAGGTAATTCTTGAAGCAGATCTACATGCCAACAACATTTGAATACCACTATTTCTGTGTGCACCTACAGTGATTGGATAACTATGACAGGCTGAGGCTACTGCAGTTTCCTGTGGGTTTTTTACCCCCCCAAGATGTTCAGCTAGACACTTGAATATTAAATACGCTGTTCTACAGGCTAATTAATCATCCGATATCTGTCGGTTTTAAGATTATTTGCACTGGCTGATAACCATGACACTTGGCCAACTAACCTTGTTGTGGCATCTTGTGTCAGTTCCAAAGTCTGATGACAGCCTTGTCAATGGATATTAAACATTTTGTGAAACTAAAATAATTTGAGAATTGAGTAAATATTTTACACTTATATTTATCTTTACTTACACTTATATTTACACTTTTATTTATCTGCAAGGTTTGGGTTCAGTAATAATATATATATATATATATATATATATATATATATATATATATATATATATATATATATATATATATATATATATATATATATAGTTTTATTCAGTAAAGACGCACTTAAAGGTACGTTATAAATTATTATTTCACATATATTTTTTCAAACATATTTATTTGTTTTCTGTGATGGAAAGAAAAATGTTTATATATATATATATATATATATATATATGTATGTATTAAATATTAATCAGAACAACTCTTCTTCAACAATGATAATAAGAAATGTTTTGTAAGAACCATATCAGCATTTTTGAATGATTTCTGAAGACAAGGTGATGAATAATCTTTGTGATTATTACCATCACAGTAATAAATTAAAAAATAAAATATATTCAAACAGACATTTTAAATATTTTACAATATTACTTATGATTAAATGTAGCCTGGCTGAGCTTAAAACTTTCCCAAATAACATTTATTACGTTTTACTGACCCCAATCTTTTGAACATTAGTGTATACACATTTATTTAATTTGTAACGCATTAAATATACATGAAACATCATTAATACTGCATATTATGGAAGTAAAATGGGTTATTTTAAAATAACACAGGACACAAGAACAAAAAGGTAAATGGCAACTGTCTCTGTGAAGTAATTTCAGACATTATACTTACAATAATAATAACGTTCAATGAAAAATGACAAAGTTTGGTCCAAGGATGATTCAGTAACAGGAACAGGCTGTAGCAAAGTAAATACTGTCCATTTTGATTTAATGCCTCGTTCAAAGTACATTGCACATACAGGAATGATATATGTAGTTGCCAGGTAAGACCTAAAGCCATAGGTTATAATAGGCAAATGCATGATGCTGATGACCAGCATCCACTCTGATGTTTAGTGAGCTTGGCAGTTGGCACTGCATCCCAACAGTTAAAAACAGATAGACATTCACAAACACATCAGTCTTAGGGTGTTTAGGGAAGTGATCGACAGATTCAACGCACATTAAAAATGTTAAATCTCACCTTTAACAAGACCAAGAACTCGAATATTCGTCTGAAGGATGGTGGGAAGAGCCTGGCATATGTCACTGCCATCTTAAAGAATAAGGCGTGGAAGAGTCTGTCTCTCACGTTGATCAGGGGGTTCTGGTTCATCGCAGGGTTCCGGATCCGGTTCGGCCCACCGTTATTGTTGTTGTTCAGTGGGACGTTGTTGTTGTTCATATTGCCCTGGTTGTCGGACATGGTGGTCGTTGTTCAGTAACTTGATAAGGAAAAATACCAACTAAGGTAGATTGAAACTTGCGCAGATCCAGTTGAGCAGGCCAGCAACACAACATCAGAACACACTGATGATGGTCCTGGTTCACCAAAACTGGACTGACTTTCAGAGATCACCACAAAACACCCCCCAAAATGCTGAATTTTGTAAGGATGTTGGTGGGCAAGGCTGCTTCCACTCCTACCATGTCATAACCTAGCGATCTAACAACCTACTAAAGCTTCAATGTCTTTGACTCCACAGTGGATCGTGTGTGTATATACCGTGAGACCAGAGGAGCATGTCAGATATAAATTGTGTTTTAGGCTCAATTTGTCCTGCAATTGTGACTCAGGCCTCCTGCACCCACTGTCACCAACCAAAATAACTAAACTTGCTAACTCACACCAGCTAAATTAATCATATTTACTCTGGTTTAGAAGCGAAATCTGTCCCAGACTATGTAGCTGAGTGTTTAAAAGCAAAGAAAAGTGGAATATCACACAGCACGTCTGCTAATAGTGGTACGTTAAGCTAACAAATTAGCCGAGCTTCCTCTGAAGAACCCGTATGTTCGGTTTACTTTTTAACAAACACCTCCTCGTATAACGCTGACACTCTTCGGTTAATTAAGGCCTTAGATACGTGATGATATCCCGCCAGAACTATCCGATGGTAGCGGTGTCAACGTCTCTTGCAGACCATCTGTTTACACAACCATTTTCGAGAGCTGAGAGGACTTGGGAGCAGCAGCCAAGAAGCTTTTAATGAGGGAAGCGTTTCCACTCTGGGCTCGCTTCCGCGTTTAGTCACGCGACATCGAGTCACGTGATTTTTGAAAACGCAAAAATCGAAATGAATCCATATACCGGTATTAACTTCATATGTACAATAACTTGAATGACATATTTACATTTTTTCTGCAATTTATAATTTCACTAAATTGCGAAGATATTTTTCAGTTTGTGTCGAGTTAAACAGCGCATGGTTTAGAAGTACAGAATATTTACTTTACTTTGGCAGGAAATAATAACACTTTTCTGCTTTTTTCAAAATTTAGGTATCTGCCTTGTTGCCTCGCTGCCATATCAGGCAATCAATGACTTTGCAGGCAGTGCCTGTGCACAAATTCAAGGTACCTCACGAAACTGATTTCGGACAAACTTCTGAGGCAGCATGATAGGTTTATGGTCCACAGCAAAATAGAGAGCTTTGGTGGAAACTAAAAGGATGTTTAATGACTACAATAGTAAATTCTCACTAGAAATGTCATAGGCATTTTTTTTATTCCATAAAAAATAGGAATTTACTTTTTAACTCAATTAATGGTTTAAAAAAATACTCAAAGAAGGGAATAGTGTTATTGGAGAGTGGAAGGGCTAGTCAGCGCACTTTTAACATTAAACCAGCACAGTAGGCTATAGCGCCTCGTTATGGTGGGATGACTATATGTAAAAACACAACATAAGATATTTATTTCACAATGGTAGAATAAAGAAAATAAAGATGCTTAGCCGATACATTAAGTCCACTTTAAATAATTTAAGAATAACATTAAAAATAAATGTTAAAAAACTTAATTTAAAAATTAAACTGATATAGAAAGAAAGAAAGAAAGAAAGAAAGAAAGAAAGAAAGAAAGAAAGAAAGAAAGAAAGAAAGAAAGAAAGAAAGAAAGAAAGTATACAGTCTTCCAGTCCAATAGGGGGCAGCACGTCTTAGTTGAGTCTCTGAACGCGGAAAAAATACACGAACTTAGACGCTCAGTGATGTGCCCTGTTTAATATGCCGATAAAAGTCTTAGAAATAAAATAGTTTCTGTAATGACAGGGCAATTATACTTTAACACATTTATCTCTTTTCTATCTCAAAAGCAGGAGAATGCAGTTTTATAACTGTTATTTCCATCGGTCTGTTTTGTTTCTTTCTGTGCACTAGCAGGGATGCTAAGTTAACTGTTAAGTTAAGTGTTTGCTTTTTTGACTCACACAGTGATTGTTTATATATTTAGAGGTCTTCGGTAAAGGTATATGTGCTGTTGACCTTCAGTTTAAGTCATTATATAATGGAGATCGCATATGTTTGCGAGTGGGAGAAGAGACCCAAGAGCAACCACTGTCCCTCAATCCCTCTGGTGTGCGCCTGGTCATGTAGAAACCTCATCGCCTTCACCACTGATCTGAAGAATGAGGAGGATGACAAAGGTCTGGACAATGCCTTTATTACCAATATTATCAGACCCGTTGGTGAGTTATAACTGAGTGATGAGGAAAAGCATACACTGACTTTTTATTGTTTCTGAATTGGAGATGCCCAGAGCATCAGTGTTTTTCGTGAGGTACTACTACCAATAACAACAATGAGGGGATAATTCATTTATGAACAGATGTCTTTTTCTGCTGTAGATCTGAGTCATATGATACACATCATTGACACTGATCACCCCTGGGATGTGTTCTCAATCAACTCTGGTCACACTGAGGTCATTTCCTGCCTGGAATGGGACCAGTCAGGTCAGTCATCATTAATAATTAATGGGTCATGAAATGTGTGAAAGGTAATATGTCCAGGTAATAATAACAATTAAATTGAGAAACAGAATATATATATATATATATATATATTCATGTGCCCTTGTAATCTTTAATCAAAGTATCTTCATCTCACTCTTGCATCTTTGATGTGTTCACCGGCGCATTAATTTGAGTTAAATCAGCATAAATTAGAGACAGAACAATAGATGCTATTGTAATGTATTAAATAGTTTCAACATTTAATCATTTAGCGGAAACGTTTATTCAAAGCAACTTACAAATGATGAGAAAAATAACATTTAATTGTTATGATTGAAATCATAATTTTTTATTATTATTATAATTTTTTCATAATTTATCATCTGGGAGGGAAAATGTAAAATGTAGATCCAAAATACTGCAAATCAGGGTTATATCAGTACCTAAAACTGTTACAAACATTTATTTGTATGAGAACTGAACTGTTTTCTCCAGAGCTGCTGCAACGATAAATGAATTAAGGATCTTTACTTGACATTGAGAACGATATATTAAAATTAGAAACCCGTTTTCCTCTGTACGACAACATTGTCCAAATGATTCCCGTTCAACATGGATCAGCAAAAACGACAAAAAATGCTGCATTGTATGCCAGACAAGAAATTTGCAATGTCACTTTGTAAAGAAGGACCTACGTGCGGACACATACATTAATGTTACATTAATTTTCTACTATCACTGTAAAGCTGCTTTCGAAACAATCGATATTGTAAAAAACTCTTTATAAATAAAGGTGACTTGGCTTTACTTGTTAATTGAAACAAATTTAAAACAAAATATTACTAGATTAAAAATATAAATTAGAAAAGTTTCTTTGCCAACTGAAGTAACTGGAAATAATGAACTAAAACTGAACTAAAACTGAAAAAAGAGCAATCAAACCTAAATAGCAAAATTAATTAAAAAACCTTCATAAAAATAACAAGAAAATGGAAATATACAAATAAAAGCTAATTAAATATTAATATTTTATTAATTGATATTTTATTATATGATATATATTAATGGATATTATATTTATATGAAAGTCAGTGATATGTATTAAATTTACCAATTTATAGTGCCATAATTAAATCAATACACAATATGCTGTATTGTCATGTGAATGTCACAATGCAAGAAGTCATCATTATTATTGATATTATGATATTTATTTATTATGATAATAAATAAAATTACAATTTTTATTTTATTTTAAACTTTAAACTAAGCCAGACATGTTCTTGAAAGGTTTCTTGAGATTCACCTACAGATTTAAAAATGTCCATTATCTCCACTTGTTTGTGTGTGTTGTGGTCCGCCAGGCTCGAAGCTGTTGTCTGCTGATGGTGATGGTCATATTAAGTGTTGGGGCATGACAGAGCACCTGGTGAACAGCTGGGAGTGCACACAGAGCAGCTCAGTGGACGGAGACCCGATCGTGTCCCTCTCATGGTTACACAATGGCGTTAAACTTGCCCTGCATGTTGAAAAGGCAAGGAAACCTCATTACAGCCTACTAACTAAGGGTTAAAAAAAAAAAAAAAAAAAAACTAACACTCTGATGTCTTTGTTGCTCTTCAGTCTGGCTCTACGAACTTTGGAGAAAAGTTTTCCCGGGTTAAGTTCTCCCCCTCCCTCACGTTGTTTGGTGGGAAACCCATGGAGGGTTGGCTTGCAGTGACAGTAAGCGGTCTGGTGACGGTGTCATTGTTAAAGCCGAACGGGACTCTTCTGACGGCCAGCGAGAGCCTGTGCAGGCTGAGGGGTCGCGTGGCCCTGGCTGACATCGCCTTCACGGGCGGTGGGAATATCGTGGTGGCGGCCACCGATGGCAGTAGTTCTTCTCCAGTGCAGTTCTATAAGGTGTGCGTGAGCGTAGTGAATGAGAAGTGCCGCATCGACACTGAGCTACTGCCCTCGCTATTCATGCGCTGCACCACTGACCCGGTGCGGAGGGACAAGTACCCCGCCGTCACACACCTTAAATTCCTGACACGTGAAAACTCAGAACAGGTACGTCAGAAAATTCATCTTTCATTCCTAAAATTACTTATAGCATTCATTAGTTATTCATTTTTATATGTTTAAGATGTAACTATTAAAATGGATAGAAATTATTATTTTCATTTTCAGTATTCATTTCTTTCAAACTTAATATTCCGACCCCAAACGAATGGTAGAATGGTTGAATGGTAGTGTACACATAAAAAAAAAAAGACAATTTAAAATAACCGTTTTCTATTTTAATTATTTTAAAATGTAATTTATTCCTGTGATCAAAGCTGAATTTTCAGCATCATTACTCCAGTCTTCAGTGTCACGTGATCATTCTAATATACTGATTTGATGCTCAAGAAACACTTATCATTATTTATCAATGTTGAAAACAGTTATTTATAATTTTATTTCAAGATTTTTTGATGAATAGAAAGTTCAAAAGAACAGCATTTGTCTGAAATTGAAAGCTTTAATAACATTATGCACTACCGTTCAAAAGTTTGGGGTCAGTAAGAATTTTTTATTTTATTTTTTGGGGAAAAGAATGAAAAGAAATAGAGGTCGACCGATCCGGGTTTTTTTTCACGCCGATGCTGATACCGATCTTTGGCCGATATTTGCTTGGTTTTTAACCTCTATTTGAAAGATAAAATGTAAAAGAAATGATAATTACTTAACATAGACAAACTTTCTCAACAAAAAAAAACATTTTATCCTCTCAAAAAATATCCTGAAACATGTATTTTTGGTTTGTTTTGTTTGTTGACGGACAAAGACAAATGGACATAACCTAATTATCACAAAAAAAAGAAAAAAAAACTTTAAATGATTTAATTTTTTATATATAAGATTTATTATATTTTATTTAATTTAACTTCCAACAATAACGTATTTCACTAGTAAATTGCTGTTGAACGACAAAAAAAACCCACCAGATGGGAAAATTATATATTTTTAAAAACTTTAAATGCACCACAACGCACCGTCCGTCTGTTGTTCTTCAGACAACGGCATCCTGCTGTTGGAACTTTTAGTCTACAGTGAAATACAGTCACACTTTACACTGTTCGGCCAGCATTTTAACCATGTTTAATCCAGCTACTAACTAACGGTCAGTGTTGTGTCTGAACGCGTTCAATGAACGATAGTTCATGCACACGTTCATATTTAGGTCTGCTGCTCACTCAGCTGGAAAATGACTCTAGCGGCAGCGTGC